GAGGGGCGGAGCGCGCCGCGAGGGGCGGAGCGCGCCGTGAGGCGAGCGCGCACGCGGAGCCGCCGGACCCTCATTTTAACCGACAAACGGAAAAAAGCACCGGCCTTTGGCACGCGAGCCGTCACTTAGAGCTGCCAGCTCTTTTCGTGTCTTATCGCCCAGCAGCCTCAGTCCGCAGCTCTTGCGACTCGGGCACTGGGCTCACCAGGGCTGCCACAAACCAGTTCTTCCTCGGGCAGTTAGGCTGCCAGTTCCCTCCTCTCCCATCTCAGGGTGCCAAAACATTCCTTTATGCTTCTGCTGTAGGTTCACACACTATATTCTCTTTCTCACACGCACGAAAACACTAAAATTTGAGAAAAACTAACCAGATAGTGGAAAATCTGGACATGAACCAGAAAAAGAACACGATTAAGACTCATCTCTTTATGCAAAACTTCTAAAACTTTATTATTTGTTAATTCACCTCTGAACAGTTACACATACTTAGCATGAACACACTGTAATGGAAAGGGCAAACGAGCAATTTGTTTTCAGCCTCTGATGAGCAGAGTGAGAGGCCTGAGAAATCATAGTATGGTCACAGAAGAAAAAAATATTTGCAACAATATTTTTCTGAATACTGTGGCAGCACAGCTGTGGTAGTTAAATTACCTAAGAAATTCAAATTGCCACCTTGATGCATCCATGGTAGACACCAAAACCATAAACTTTTTAATATAACTGCTAGAAGAACCTCAAACAGTAACTACGGACTGTTTTCTAAGGCTGTGTGTTACTCCCTCACCCACAGCAATGGAACACTAAAATACAGATCAAATATTTACTGGTAACTAGCCCTAAGGTAAGGTAACAGGCAAGAGAACCAGTAGCACTGCATACTGTTTGCCAACTGGAATTTGCTTATCAGACCACAAAAACCAGATACTGGTTCAATATTAGTTTACATTTCAGCAATGGTATGAATTGGAAAACTGCTCTGAACCCTTTAAGGTGACTCTCTTAGTAGTACTGCTAGTCATTTGAAGATACAGCTTGGTAAATAAATTAATTGTTGCACCCAGAGCTGCCTCAATATGTTTTCTACTGTAAGCAGAAAGAATAAAACGTTTAACTGAAAAATACAAGAAAATATTCAAGCCAAGGAAAGAATTACTAATGCCACTAATGAATTTCAGTTTGGGTGGAAGGGAGCAGAGGTGATATAAGTAGTAAGATTTCAGAACACACAGTAGAACTGGCAGCTCTCAATTGATCCCTGGTTTGTTATTTGTGTGACAATTTCTCTGCAGGTTGTTTGGTTTTGAAATGGACAGACTATGCTCTCAGGTCTCTGCTTTACCAGATGTCTATTCAACAAAGTCCGGAGACATCTCTTGTCTTCTTCCACGCAGTTCACCAGAAGGACCTTGTCTCGTCTGCCCTCTCCCAGGTGCGCCTCAGCAGATACACTGCAGCGTGGAGTCCCCCCACGTTCACCCACACGGTCTGAGCTCTGCGCCAGATGTGTCCCACACGGGACAAGGCCTGCGGGCCAAAAACAGCCAAAGAGTGGCATTACGACAGGAACGTTAATTTTTATTATTCTCCAGCACATCTGATGGGAACATCAAAGGACCTTCCAGGTCCAAAATTTAATTTAAGCGTTACTAATGATTGCTCTATATGTGGAGTATCTTTTATAAGGATGGCAGCTTACAATTTTTCCCTCAATGTATTTTCAAGTGTAAACAGGTTTGATTTTCTCTCACAGAACAAACCTTGGCAAAGCATTTCTTGTCCTGGGTAAGCAGCACAGCCCTGCCTGTCCCTGGGGTGCAGATCCGGCCCATCTCCATCAGGCAAGCTGGGTAGAGATCCCAGTTCTTCTTCTTCGACCCCATCCTGCAAGATACATCCAGATCCCCAGTGTGATCGCTGGCACCAGCTCAGTGTCCTTGGTGTCTCAGACATCGATCTGCTCATTCAGGAGCAGTTACTTTCAAGCTCCTTTTTAACACGGGGCTCCCGACCGCTTCCCCAGCAGGCCCAGTTCAGCACCAGCTGTGCAGGAGCCCAGCCCTGGCCAGGAGAGCGCAGCTCACCTCTTGCCGAAGGGCATGTCTGTCACCACGATGTCCACGGAGCCCGTCCGCAGAGGCAGGTTGCAGATGTCCCACTGGATGACATCCAAGGGAACGCCCAGGGCAGTGCTGCTGCAAGAGCAAAGGCAGTCCCCTCAGACATGAGCATCAGGTTTTTACACTGGGGAGGTCTACAATGTTGGCAACAAAATAAACAAGAAAACATGAACCAGACACTCAAGTGCATCAGTGCAAAGTGGATTTCTGTGCATGCAACACTGCAGGAAAGGTAAATCCCTCAGGGTCCTCTCACCTGTCCTTACTCTCGTTTTTCCTCAGTAAGGAGCTGATGTTGTTTGCTGCTCTCTTCACTGCCTGAGGGCTGTTATCCCCTGCGATGTGGTAGCAGTAGGGCCATTCTGCAGCTCCCTAGCAGGGAAATGATAATAAGCAACATTAGCATCAACATTGCTTGAATGAAAAAAAATCCCAGAATAATTTCTCTAACCTGACAGAATACAACAAAGTGACTGCAAGTTGATGGCTGGAAATTGAGACTTCTGTAACAGATAGCTGTATTTTGCACCTTTAAAGCTCAAAATACTTTTGGATTTAGTCTTTTTCTGCTACGTCTTATGGAAGGAAAATGAGGTCATTTACAAAAAGTGTATTTGCATCTGTTCAAAAACTGGTGAGACTGGAGCTTACTATTCAGTCATTACTAAGAAGATTTACACATATTATTCAGCTATAATAGAATATAGCTAAGATATAGACAAGTTTAATTAAGTTTAAAAAATCAAGGAAGAATCACCTCTATTGGTATCGCACCTGTACCACACATGGGATCAACTATGATATCTGTGGGCTGGGGATCACAGAGTCTGAGGAACAGAAGAAAAGATATGGTGAGAAATGTCTTAAAAACCTGAATTTCTATAAATAAGGGAAAGAGTGAGCTATTTTCATCGCCCTGGTATCTACCCTTCTAACAAAAACTTGATGTGATTATTTTTTCCACTAGTTACATTTTTTTTTATAACCAGCAATGAAGCGAAATTCTTTCAAGACTGAGGTACACTATTTTGAAACTTGGCTAATACAGGAAAGGTTTACTTTCCTTGGCTGGGAAATACCCACTGTTATTACAAGGCACATGGTGTCAGCAAGTCCAGGGTTTTTTTTTTTTTTTTGTTCTTTAAGAATTAACAGAAATGGCTTCTGAGGAAGCAGTGGGGGAGATAAAAGGTTTAATTTCTTAAACAAAAGCTGCTGTTTCTTAAACAAAAAGACTTGTTAACCGAGCATAATACAACATAACTGCCCTGACCTGAGCATGCCGTAAGCCAGAGTGGAACGCAGCGTTGTGGGTCCGAAGTGTGTAATATTCCGTCTGTGGAGACTCTCTTCAGTTAATGCAATCCCCACCACAACTTCATTGTTGTGAATATTCAGAAGAACCTAAAGAAAAAACCTGAAGTGAATTTCAGGAGTAACAGAAGCTTTCCACAGAATGCCTGGTAAATACTTACAGGAATCTTAACTGGCAATTTAAAATCCAGGAATGACATATAAAAAAGCTTTTCTTCTTGGAAGTAAAGCATAGCACCATTTTAATAGGACAGAATTCAGGTGAGCATTCACACACTCTCTCATTCACACCAAATCTGTTGCACAAGACTTCTCAAAGTGCTATAACCATTGCACTGGCTTCTTAAAACATTTGGTTTGTAAGTCTGGGGCAGAGGCTGGGTAAGTCCTGCAAGACACAGTGAACCATCTGCAAAAGCAGCAATAAAAATCATATTTGTGGTGGGGACTACATTAACTAGGAAGGTGAATTCTCACTCCAGGGCAGTGGCCAGCCCTTAGTAAAGCTGCAAGAAAAACTTAGGTCTCTCTGCCCCTCAAAACCGGTGGCTCCTCACCACCAACAGGTCAGGGGTGCTGGTTGTATTTTCCCAGCCTCTGCTCTCCCCTGA